TTAAATACTTGTTAAGACTTTTCTTTTACAATATCAAATTTAAGTATAATTATCAATATCAATTTTGTGTCTTGATATTTTTACTGTTAACTATGAAATATTGAGCCTTTTTTAATCTAGGTGTAGTTTATAAGTTAAGTTGTTTTTATTAAGATTTTTTTAGGATATCGATTAATTTATATTTTCCTAAATTTTATTTTTTAAGAACACTAACTATTTTTTAAAATTATTTAATGAATTTTTTCTTGGTACAATTATTATTAATACAATAAATTATTATTAGTTGTATGTATATTAATATAATCTTTATCATTTTACTATTTTATTAATAAAAACGGTAGAACAGTGGGGTCGAGGTACAGTGTAGACAAGGCATAGATGGGACAAGTATAGATGATATTTGACAGTGTTTAAAATCACTATCATAAGAAACGCTTTGATGCAAATCTGTAGATAGTGTTTCATTTAGAGAAATTGTTGGATTATTCCAAAAGTAACATCAGCTCTTATTTCTTTGATTATATCCTAATTAGTAGTTCTTTGATTTTAAAATATAATATATGAATAAATATTAATTATAATTATTAAATTTAGTATGAAAATAAAAAAGTAAAAAAAATTTAATAAGTTTAATTTCTTATGTCTTATGACCTTTATTCTATGTCAATTAGCATATTTTTGAATACGGTAGCCATTTGCGTATAGAAGATAGGTCGTTGGGACAATTTTTTTTTTTCATTTTATAGTACATAAAATAAACTTTAATTTGATATATGTTTAAAGGACGCAGTATTTCTGGAACATTTTAAAAAATTAAGTTGAAAAAGTTAGTTTTTGTAAAAAAGTTGCTATTTTAAATCCCCCCCAATGAGCAGAATAAGTGTTAGATTTTCAAAAAAATGATATCAAACAAAAGGAAATTACCTAAGGTATTAGTATAAAAAAAAATTATGTTGATTTGTTTATATTTGAAAAAGTTATGGAAGTTTTAAGAAAAAAAGTGAAAAAAATGACAAAATTTACCGATTTTTAAATTTGTAATTTTTTTGGATATGTCCCCCATTTGCGGGGAACGAGGGAAAATGTTTCAATTTTTAAGGGTAATGTCTTCAACTAGATACAATTTGTGATCTTTTGACGTATTGTTGAAAGAAATCGGTCCTGTGAGAGCTGAGAAAAAGTGGCAACAGACATAAAAAAAAAAAAAAAACACATCATAGTAAAATTAATACCTTCTCAGCTTCGCATCGAAGCTAAAAATGTTATTGATATTTTATTTTCCAATATATTTTCGTGTCAACTGGTATTTTTGTCAAGGCCTTAAACTCGAATTTTATCTGTGGCTATTGATATTTAATTTTGAGAATTTATAAATTTTATTTTTTGGGGATTTTTTAATACTGGATTTGAAATTTTTTTAGCTTCCTTGTAAAGCTGAAAGGTTTTATCACAATGTATTTTTTTGGTTGTCTGACTATTATAGACTCGGCTCTTATTACACCAAAATTATTGATTTATATGTCAATAATAGAGTTATATCAAAATGATGACATCATCTTCCAAATTTGGAAATTTTATATTATGGTAATATTTAAAAAATGTCCAGAGATGAAATCGAATAATTTTGACTTTTTTTGTCTTTTAACTGCAACTTTCTTAAAAGTTATTAAATCAAAATTAAATTTTTAAAAGTTAAATAAAGTTTTATGGTTTAAAATTTAAGTTTTTACTGGTGTCAAGTGTGCATGGCCTCCCCACTATTCTAATTTGGGTTTTTTTTATTTGAATTTTTATTTTTATATTGTATGGTATTGGTCATCGGGTTGATTTGGATTTAAAGGCCTGGTTCTGAATAATTAATTTTATTTGTGTTCATCCGATTTAAAAATGGCTAATTCTTTAATTTATTTATGTATTTTTAAATATTGTGTTTGTATGTGTTTATTGTGACTTTGAATTCGATCTTATTTTTGTGTTGTTTATCAACCTAGTATAGTTTAAACAACACATGCGTGTTAATTTAATCGTATCAAATCTTAGAACATTTTATGTAGTGCGGCTTTTAAGTATTTTTTTATTACTATTTAATCTAGTTTAGTATATTTGAAAAAATGTATCTTGATTGAATCATAAGATAAATTTTCATTTATACGCTAATTTTAAGGAAATTACATATAATGTACTTTATGTACTTAAGATATCACATATTTAGTAAATAAACTAACCCAAAAGTTCCTAGAGGATTATAATGTGTTAAATTATATTGGTATATTATCTATTATATTTTATTTTTATTTTAATACTTTTAATCGTTATGTATAATTCTTTTTTATTAAGAAAGAATTATGCATAAAGATCTTAAGTTATAATTGAGATTTTTGTTATGATTAATCTGTAGATATAGATTCAGATTAAAATAAGAAAAATAATAAGAAATTAAAAATACAATTATCACGTATAAAACAGTTTTATGTGACAACTTTAAATCTACTTTAAATCTACTTAAAATTTTATTTTTTTTAATTCAATTTTATATACTTGGAATACATTATGAATTTATTACTAATTTTTTTTAGCTTCGTTGCGAAGCTAAGAAGGTATACATTTTACTATAATGAATCTTTTTTTTTTTTTTATGTCTGTTGCCACTTTTTCTCAGCTCTCACTGGACCGATTTCTTTCAACAATACGTCAAAAGATTAAAAATCGTATCTAAACATTACCCTCAAAAATTGAAAAAATTTTCCTCGTTCCCCGTAAATGGGGGAAAGCTCCAAAAAAATTACAAATTTAAAAATCGCTAAATAAAGTTCAAGGTATTTATTTTTTATAACTTTAATAGTATTAATATTAATAATATAATTTTTTTATGATGAAATATAATTAAACATATTAAGTGGATATTTTTTAAAAATTTGAATAATATAAAAAAAACCTAATAGTTTTTATGTTAGTTGGGTAGAACCCTTGGAGTAGGTTAAAGCAAAATTTAGACTGAAAAATTTAATCTTAGTTTTAGTTTAGTATAAAAACTTGAGTCTAACCCTAAATCCTTATCTTTAGTATAAGTTAACATAAATAATTTCAATAAGTTAATTTGACTCAAAATTAATTTTTATACGTTTTCATGTGTTTTTTTTTACTTTTTACTGGGATTTACTTTGATTATTTAATTTATTTATCCATGTCTTCACGTCATCTTGGTGCCTAGGGGTCGCTGACTTTGAAAGATTCGTCCCTAAAAATCGCTTCGATAGGTTGACCAAGCCGAGATATGGTTGTAGGGTGGGGTAACAAATCTCTAATATCAGTTTTACCAAATTTTGTACTAACATCTAAAAAAAACTGACCAAAACTGGTAAAAAACCTTCACCTTCTATAGCAGACATAGGTCTTATATCTATGCAACAATATTTAACGAATTTTTCAATCGCTTCGTCTTTCAAAAGTTTTGATATAACTTTTTTGACTTTATTTGTCGACACGGAAAACTCATTGATAGATTTTTGATTACTTATTACCATATTACATTTATGACTTGCAAGAGTAGCAGTTCCCGTTTTTATACCATAAACCTATTTGCAGTGAATACGAGCTACAAATTCTGTTAACACATGCTCGGGACTATCAGGGTCAGTATAATTGGAAGTCACACTCATAACACTTTTAAATTTCTTCCATACACAACTTTTCCCCTCGTGAGGAGACAAAGTATAATCACCAGAATCACTCAATAATTTTCTTTTAACAGTATTTTTAGAGACAGTAAATGCTGGATTCTTTCTAAATTTATTGTTGGTTGAGTTGTATTCTCTAAGTCGGAAGGAATAATAGAATTATTTGAAAAGTCATCATCAATAGAGCTCACCGAAGTTGAGTTCAAGAACTCGCGAATTTCTTGAGAATTATTCATGATTCTAAAAAAAACAAGACTAAAATGTTTTTTTTTAACTATAATTATTTTTATTTTGTGTGTAATTGAGTTAATGATTTATGATAAATGAATCACTCTGTATAGGCTATAAACAAAATTCAATAACTCAAAAATATTCTTGAGTAAACTAATAATTTCAAATTCGTGTTGTACAGAATTTAACATATTTAGTATACAGAATGATTTCTTAACTATGCCTCACGAAATAACTTTGAAATTATTATTGTTAATCATTTTTTTTTTTTACATTAACGATTCATTGTTGAGCAATTTAAACGAAAAATTAATTTTGTGCTACCATTTCGAATGTCAAATGGCAACCCCAATTTTTTTCATACCATCAAATTTATTTAATCGAAAAAAATATTGTCTTACATATGGGGTAATTAAATCATGACTGATTGTTAATTATTACGATATATTTGGATAAAATTTCACTTAAAGCCATTAGTTTATTTAGCCTAAGTGAAATTTTTGGTTCAACAAGTTATTATTAGCATATTATTTTACATCGATAAATATTTTAAGACTCACGTTTAATTTTATAACAAAAAATTAACACCTATCAATATAAAGTTGTACAAAACAAAATAACTTTCCATTTTTCCTAAAAAGTATATGTGCTTTTATACTACTATTTATTAAATAATTAAAAATTTATTTTATAAGAAAAAATACTTACAGGCAGATTGAAAATAACTGACGTCTTTCGTTGATGATAAAGAAATAAAGATAGATGATTATGTTGGTTGATATATCCCAACTTTATTTTATCCAACATAATGTACAAAAACTCATAAATGTAATATTGTTATATTAATAACAATTTGTATTAACAAGGGTAATTCTTTAAAAACACGGTTTTAAGTCTTAATTGAATTAAAATAATATTGTATGTTAGATGGGCAGTAATAGCCTTTCTATGTCTAGACATAATTATAGTCAATAAAAACGATCAGTTTATTCCAAAATGTGCAGAAAAACTATAAAATAATATAATACACTTGACGATTGACAGTGTAAGAAAGCAATACACTATGCACTATGATTTTAAATCACATTACAGGATCCTGGAAATTCTATTGGCACGTGGGTCATTATTTGAAAGAATTCAGGACCGGACCAATTTATTATTTGAAGTATAAGACCGAACCATGCAGAGCTCTATTGTAAAGTCAGTCTTCCGCGGTACTCTGCTGAATTGGCATTCGTTCAATAGAACGACCAAAGTGTTTGGCGCGGGTTGGCGTCGGGTGAGTACCGTCCCCCCTACGACACGGGAGCCTCTTCGTCTCCCAGGCTTGGATCCCTTAGGCCCAAGCCACAAACCCTTTGCCTCTTTCCATAATCATGCTTGTCCGGGTCTAGGTTATTTAATGATGTGTAGCCTCGGCTTATCCCACTCATCCACCTGGCTTCCACGGAGTAGAAGTCGCTCCATCTAAGGCGGCCCGCGTAACTATGAAGTACGTGGGTCGTTAGGGTGACTTATGAAAATGGTCCAGTTGTACGATTACATTTTAGACACGTATATTTTCACGAATTAACATTTACGATAGAAAAGAATATTCTAAGATTGAGTTGGCATCTCAGTTGCCATAAAGCAATGCTAATATTTAAATATATTTTTAGTTAAATTGGAAAACTGAAGTCATCATACTTCAATAGTTATAACGTTGAAATAATTTTCACAATGCCTTTAAAATGGAGAATATTATTGGTTTGTGAAGCAAAACAAAATAGCGGTAAAAAGTTAAGTTAATTAATTCACGTATTAGTTTAATGTTTAAAATTTTACGACGCGATCAAAAGGATATTAATAAACGTGAGTTTAGATTAATGTTGAAATGTTGTATTATATACTCTATTTTAAAGAGTATAGTAACCTGGTACTATTAAATATGTAAAAAAAAAAGTTTGCTGCTATTGATTAGATAATTTTTCAAGTTAACGTCTAAGTTGTTTTGACTGACCTAAGTAAAATTATAAAGAATCGAACTCGGAATTCTGCGTTATCCTTAATTCCGAATTCGATTTTTTATGTACAGTATAGTAGAAAGTTTACTTCACCCAAAAACATGCTTTGTTTTTTTAAGTAGGTATTGTAAAAAATAATTGAAATAATCATTTGTATGCTGTTCAAAGCTCGCCGATAACTTAAAAAGAATTTTTAACAACTCTATATAATTTAAAATATCGTCAAGTCAGTCAACTTGGGATGATGGTTAAACTTTGGGTAGTTAAATATTATATTGATTTCGCTCTTAATTTAATTGAACAAATATTTCATATTTGACAATACTTGTAAATATTATACTAGTGCTATAGATTAATAAGACTAAAATTATAATAAGATTTTTAACTGCCCTCTATTTAATTACCGCCAAAGTTAGTCCATTTTACTGTACTTAATTTATTGGCATTGTCATAATTTTGCATCAAAAATATTACCTTTTTTAGGTTAGAAGTTATTCTTTGTTTCATATACATTTGTTTATTAAAGATATATATACATGTGTATAACTGTTGTATAATCCATTTTTTATCTGTATAGATAAATTTCTGTCATTTTAAAGTTGACATATTTTAATTTACAAGCTATCTTATGTTAATAACAATATTTAATTTTTGTAGTTTTTTTTCAACATAACAATTGTAAGGGTGTATTTTAACGTTTTGTAGGTACAAAACGCATGTGCGCAAGATAATGGATGGAACCTACTGATTTGGCGACAGGCAGCATGCAGTAGGACGTCTAACGGCGTACTTCGTTAAAAATTGTGAATTGAGTATATCGCCTGTTTCATATCAAACGTAGGAATCGTATAAAACAAAATTTTAACTGTGGATGTGTCAAATTTTTAATAAATTTTTCATTTAAAATTGGAGTTGTTCTTTTAATCTTAGACAGTTCAAATAGAAGACTTTTAATGTTTGTTTGATCATTGTACAATCAGGTTGGTTAGCATAACGTAATTTACTTATATCTCATGAAATAAAACTTGCAAAATGTATTTTTGTATGTTGTTGTTTATTTTACATCAACATTTAACATATAAAAATAATTGTTATTATAATTTGACATAAAACATTGAAGTTATACAATATTTACCTACTAAATAGACAATGGTTTAGCATTATTAAAACCAAATCAAGAAATTAATGTTACGATAAAATAAAAAATACTATAAAAAGTTGTAAAAATTTTATATTACATTAAAAAAATAGTTATATAAATATATATATTTTTTGAAAAGTTTATATATCGGTTATTTAATTTGAATTTTTTGCAATAATTAATATTACTTTTCAGTAAACTTTTAGATAAGACAACTAAAAAAGTTGTCTTAAAAAAATTAAGTAAAACTTTCACTTTTTGTAAAGTATAAAAGAAAAAATGTTTTAAAAAATTAGTTTAATTTATCGTGTCAATGAAAATAATGAAGACCGACATGACATCCTGGTTGTTCACATCAAGTTTTTTGTTTATTGAATATTTTTTTTAACAGTATTTACAAATCACCTAATAAAAAATGCATTAAAATGTTTAGTCTTATGAAATGTGATATTTTAAAAAAATATAGCCAAGAGTTCTTTTACTTTATTTCTAAAATGTTTATGCCCCTTTGGATTTGGGATGATATGGATTCTTATAACAAAAATAACGACAAAAAAGGAAATTTGATTAATTGTAAATTAGAACAAATGTTTTAGGGAGTCTAACTTAATTTCTTTCTTTATTTTTAAACCCATATTAGTTCACTAGTAGATTTTAATCTAGATTTTTTATGAAAAATGTATCAATTTATTATAGTAACAAAACTATTCTTTAAAATAGAATACTTGGTAAAATGAATAATAGTAACCAAAAATTTCGACTTCGATGGCCTCAAATTTTTTTCAGCTTTGATGAGATTTTTTAAAGTTAATACTTTGATAAATTTATCAACTTTATGATATAGCTAATACAATATATTTTTTATTTAGTATAAATACATTTATGAAGTTTAGACAACAAATATTAGGTTTATAGAGTGATCGATTAAGGAGAAGACACTTTTTTCTCAAAAACTATTAAGATTTAAATTTTTTGTAAAGAGAAAAGATATTTGGTTCAAAAAATTTATAACTATAATTTTCTTTGATAGGAACCACTATTTTTTTTCTTACAGTGTTTTTTCATTCGATGAACCGTTCATTTGTTATAGCTAATTCTTAGTAGGTATGTAGTGCGGGGGGTATAGATCGTACTGGTATAACATCTACATTATTCAAAACTAAATTAAATTGCAATTTATTTATGTAATAGATGATTAAAAAAGAAGTTCCACCTTGTTTTCTTTGGGTAATCGGACACTAAAGTCGAAAAGCATGTAATTTTTTATGGATATGTTAATTATTTTTAAATTTGTTTCAAACATTCATCGAACCGTTTTATGACAACAATTTTAATCATTATTAGATCAATGAATACTAATCTAAAAAATTCCTCAACTTCACTTTGCCAGATTCTTTCTTTATTTTACTTTGTTTAATTTGATTTAGGATAACAATTTATAACACCTTTTTTTTTATACAATTTTCAACTTCAGTTTGAATAAAAATATTTATCGACTTTCCAATAGAATTTTCCAAATGACATACAATGTGATTTACTAATTTTTTAATTCGAATTTAACCCTACTATTATTTATTTATTATCTAAACATTTTTTATTATTCTATAAAAATTAAATTTTGCATGAAAATAGCAATTAAAGTAATTAAAATAAAATAGCAAATTAACTTTATTAGATTTAAATAACTCGTAAGTTAATTATTACTATTATAATTAATTTATAATTCAGATTTAAGTGCTTAAAACAAATTGTATTATACACACTGATATTCAATTTACTCTGAATAAATATTGTAACTTTATTCTGTTGTGTAAAGTTCCATTTATATTGGAAGATACGGCGCCGACAACCTCTTTACATTAATATTTTTATAGAACAAAATAAACAGAATTGTAACTAAAATAATATTTTAAAATTAATGTATATATTATTTACATTATCGAGTATTTTATTACGTTTATAAACAAAACGCTTGGATTACTTTTCAAGTCAAGCTCAATATGAATAGGTTATTAAACTAGGATTGCAGTTTTTATCAGCTCTATTATTAGGTAACTACTTAAACGTAATGCAATATATGTTTATTTCGCTTGAATATTGATAAAAATAAGTTGAGTAAGTTTCTACGATTGTTTTTAATTTCTAAGCAACATGCTTTAAAATTTTAGGTGCATTATATTATAATTACATCCAATCAAAACTAAAATATAAAATTATGAGCTAAATATTAAGTAGAATTAAATTAAAAATAAAGTCATACATTTTATTATGTGTTAATGTAAGCTATATGATTCTTCTCGCATATGAATGTAAACCCCTTATTTAATTAATCTGTTTGAATAATATACGTAACATAAAATAAGTGCTGATTACATAAAACATATATGAGTTTTATTAAAAAAACTCACTAAATAAAAAATGACAAGGCGTAAGTATAAATTATTAAAAATTAATTTAATACTATTTTTTATATTATTATAAATAAGACAACTACTATAAAAACCAGTGATAATAATAAAATTTCAGTTCAGTGCGCATATAAATATAATTTATATTAGTAATTCTAAAGACCTTTTGATAAAGTGATACTTAATGATTGATGCTTCTTTTATTATTTGTTATTATAATAAATCAGACGAGCTTTCAAAAAAAAAAAAAGACTAGTAACATATTGATGAGTTGTTAAGTATAGTTTTTGTCTTGTTAATGAATAGAGATCGTGTCGTCACTGAAAATAACAAAATACTGACTATTATAGAATAAATTAATTTCCTGAATGATTTAAAATAAATAATTTTACTAATTTGATATTATTACAAAAGAAATAATTATTCCTGAAATATTTATTTGTAAAAAATATTTACCGAATTTTGTGATTGCTTAAAGGTGATCCTTTTTAATGAGATTTCCGTTCAATGAATTGTGAAATTGATGAATAGAAATGTAATTGTGTTGACGGAATGAAACGCCGCATTATAAAACTCAATATTTTGAATGTGCTAGTATTGATAACATTTCAAATTTTGGCAAATTGAGTGGTAAATTTGTAACAATGAAATTTGATTTCAACTTGTATTTGAGTATTTTTAGTAATTAAGTATTCTTTTTTCAAAAAAAATTTTTTTTTTAAGTTTGCAACAATTATAAAAATTAATCTAAAATGATGATGCCGTTAGATAATTATTATCTATATTTTGAGTATAACTACTGACTTGTATAAGCCATATTGCTAATCTATAGTGTATTAAGAAAACCAAATACCTGAAAAGCTAAAAGGTTATAAATTCTTTAAACTTATCTAAAGCTTCATAATAATAATGTTCAATAATTTTGAAAAATATTGAATTAAACAAATTAATCAATAATATTACAATTTAATTATTGAACAAAAATAATTGGGAACAAATGCATTTTACCACCCTATCGAGTATTTTCAAAATTTTTTTTTTAAAACGTATGTTTTTCAATGCTTTTTTCAAAAGTGTTTGAAAAAATTGTCGGAAAAATTTGGTTCAAAAGTTATAGCTTTTTAAAGTTGAAATGTTAAAAACTAAAAATAGCTCAAAAATTGTTTTTTTTTTGGTAATTTTTGAGATTTTTTCTCATGATAATATTGTGAAACTATAATGACGTAACTGTTACATAATATCCTCATTCTAAAAATCCTAAAACGAAAAATAAGGATTTTTTTTTCAAAACTACGCAATACGAAATAAAAATGGGTTTTTCATAAAAATTTTATATAAGTGATTAGGCAATAATAAGAAACTCAATTAATTTAAGTTGTGCAAAAAAAAAAAGAAGACCACGATGTGGTGTTTTACTTAGAATTGTTTATTCAATAAAATAAAAGTTTTTACAGTATATTATGTATACCAATTAACACTTGTTGAAAAAAAAAAAAAATACTATTATATTAGATATTGAAATTTTAGTATTACTCGATTCTAAATAAGTAATAAGTTTATCCCGAATATTTACATTTAAACCACAATGACATTTGTACAAATTTCCATCATACATCCATCGATTCATAGTGAGAAAGAAATAACTTAAATAGATAAAGAATTAAGCTGTTTGAAAGTAAAACAGTATATCATGATCTTTGTTACCAACTGTCAAATATAAAAATGCATTATCATAATTTAAAAAATGCAAAAAATTTTATATATAATTAGAATTGAAACTGATATTGTACGTATAAAATGTATCAGCAATACCATTTCAGCAACAGTTTGAATTGCGCGGCGCGACGTAAATTTTTTTATTTAAGTACCTACACACATATAAATATTTTTTTTAGTATAATTAAATAAATAAAATTCGATTAATATATCATCGAGAATAATTTTTCTAATGAATTAATGCAAAAAAAAACAAAAAGAACAGCAGTATATAACAAAATTTGTCAATGATGGTTGAAAACTTTGAAAGCTCATAAATTTTAAACTGGACTTCGCCGACAAAAATTTTTTATATATTCTTAGTCAGTATAAAAAACTGAATCAATTAAAAAAAAAAAAAATTGAAAAAATTCGATGGGGTGGTAAAATGCATTTAAGCCAATGATTGTAGTCCACCGACATCATACTATATTGGATGCTGTGACCAGTTACACGACATGATTAAAGGTGTGCGGCCACCCGTTTACAATTTATTTCCCCACTTGAATTGTTTTATTGGTAAACACTTACTAGAATGTTATTTTTTGTGTTAGATGAATTGTATTATAATACAGAAATATAAATGAAATCTGAACAAAATCATTCCGCTAACCTTGTGTAATTGACTGTGAAGTAGGAAAAGAATTAGTTTTTAATGAACAAAATGAAGCCTCAACCTATATTTTTTTGAATACTTGAAATTTTTCTGTAAAAAATATTTTCTCAATATTTTTATTTATACATTTGTCGAATAGTTAAAAATAAAAAATATTTATCAAACGTTTTCTTGACAAGTTGAGCCATAATGACTTTAACTTGATGGTTTTTTTTTTCAGTAATGTGTATGCTTATAGATCTAAAGTTAATTTATAGGCGTCTATATGTCAGAATAGAGAAATAAAAAAAAAATAATAAAAACATGTATTAGCATGTTTTTGTTAATAAAAGGTTATTTAAATTATGTATAAAATAAAGGAGTAGATATTTCTTCCGTATCCTTTTAATATATGACTTAGTTTAAAAATATTTGCCTCGGAATGTATGTGCAATTATTTTAAAAACTTAACTGTTGTTGCTATTGTTCTTATTGTTACTATTTTCTGTTTGTATATTAATGTGTAGTACAAAGTACTAGTTTCACATAGAGATTATTGCCATAAATAGACATTGAATCAAAACAATTTGCATCGCATATTTTCTTTTATATATGTTTCATACATTTATTAATAAAACAGTTATGTTTTAAGATATTTCCATCTTAAAATATAAGCAATATTCAACACGCCGTTTGTTTATTAAACACGTTATTAACATTACAAAAAGTACTTTTACGTAGAGTATAATTAAATGTATTTTAAAATGCTTCAACGCATACAGCTTTTATAATTATTTTAAACTTTGCCACTATGTCTTGTTTAATTTTCATTTCAAAAGTTTCTTTGAGTAATATTAATTTACTTGACATCTTGTGGATTTAATCAAGTTCTATAACGTTTTTATGAAACAGTTGTCCCCAAATTAAATTACTGTCAAATAACTTATATTTCTATTACCTCGTTAAAATAATGGATGAGGTAAACTCGTTAAAATGTAATATTTTTTTTACTTTTGAACAATGGTTTAATAAAAATTTTATAAGTTTTGGCGTTTGAAGTATACAAAAAATAAATGTTTTATCTTCAAAGAAATTTAAATTTCTTAATTAATAATTTTTTTTTCAAACGCATAAAACCTTCTAATAGTTTTGTATTTTATAAAAATATCTATGGTAATCATTTTCCAAACAGCCAAACTTAAAACTATACTCACAAAAATTCAAAAATACAAGTTTTGTAAACATAACAATTAATGTAGGCCGAAGTAAACATAAATATACTAGTTTAAAGGAAGTTATTAAGACATTTATTGGTATAAAATAAGCTAGTTAAACTGTGTGAAAAATGAGTCTTAGTAAGCATTAAGTATTAAAAGGACAAGGTCAAATGTATTTATTTAAATAAGTGAATTTCCGAATACATTTAGTATGTTAATGAAAAAAGTTAGATAATAGGCAATTAAACTAACTTTTACTCAATTCTTTTTATGTAATTTTGTTTAATACCAAAAAGTAGATATACATTTAAAACATAATTTGACACATTGATTTTGTGTTTAATAGAGAAAGCTTAGAGCAGTGATATCCCGTTGATTTTTGCACGAGAGACAACTTGTTTTTTGACACTTGGAAATATCAGTTATCAACTTATTCGAAGCTAATCGCATAATACTTATTTAATATAAGTGCCTACCAGAAATTTGTATTTTCACTTTGCGCTCTATTAGTTATTCACTTATTAAAGTATTATTAATTTTGAACAATTAAACCTGATGACGTAATATAAAAATTTAATTTTGCGTAATCTTTTGATGTTTTTAAAATACATTTTTATCCTTTAGGCAAATTATTTTATGTGATTAATTGTTTATTTAGATTTTTAAATAAACAAGTCCTACACCATTTTTTTAATAAAAATTTGGAAAAATATTTATTTTGTAATTATTTTATTTCAGAAAATAAAAAATTCATACCATAAAGATTTCTAAAAATATGTTTTCGTAATGGAAGTCGGGTAATAGATAGTGATATGTCTTTCATGGTTTGATAATTGTCAGCTATGGAGGTTATGGAACAACCCTTTGCCGTACCGGAAAATGTAACTAATACTTCTGTTTTCGATATCAACAACTTACCTTACGAACTACGTTTTAACGATGGACACATCGTCACAATTGTCACTTATAGTATCCTAATGGTGATTTCGGCCATTGGAAATATAACTGTACTCACTATTATATTAAGACGAAGGCGCAAAGCTGGAACTAGAATACATGCCATGCTAATGCATTTAGCAATAGCCGATCTCTTCGTAAGTGTTTTAGTATATTTTATTCTTAATCAATTGTTTTATAGTATTATTTAAATATAATACTATAATTTATAATATAATATAATTTAAAAGAATATAATTTACTCGAGGATTACTATTACTATTTTTTATTATACCGTAATATAAATTTAAATTTATTATTGAAACTGCAAATGTTTATTGCAATCACCCAAAAAAATGATCTATGGAATTGATTGACTCCTATTGTTTTGGATTTTTATAATTTGTTAAAGATTCATTGTTTTTTATAAACTATGTAAAGTAGTATTTTTCGGCGAGAAATTCTTCAGTTTAATTCATTATTCGTTTTAGATAAATAATAAATTGACATCAGATAAAAGAACATTAAAATTCTTACACTAAAATTTAAAATTTAATTATGATTTAAATATTCTAAATGTAAAACTTATAAATATCTTTGTGTATTAGGTAACATTTTTGATGATGCCACTGGAAATAATATGGGCTTGGACAGTTGAGTGGGTACTTGGAGATCCTTTGTGCCGAATAATGGCGTTTTTCAGAATATTTGGATTGTACCTATCGAGTTTTATTTTGATTTGCATAAGCGTTGACAGGTAATATTCATGTAATGGATATCTCACAATCAAAAGATTATAAATTTAAATATTCGAATTAGTTAATTAAAGAAGTAGTAAAAGTCTTTACATTTTTTTTTTTATAAAAATATATAATTTTATTATTGTTTTTTTAATCAATTAGTGGTTAACACCACTTATTTATTAACTTATTTATTAATATAAATTAATGATTATTGTGTTCCTAAGATTTTGGGGAATAATCAATATAATGGTTTCTATAGTTTAGGCTATAGTGTTTTCCACTGTTAAAACTGACGTGTGACAACTTATCTAACAACTAACTGCGGCAGGCTTAGATGAATTCTAAAGCTTGACAGTATATGAAGTGGAATATGTAATCTCTCCTGAAAATTAAACTGACGCTGAACTTTTTGTGTGTAAAGTCTCTTAAATATTATGTTGCTTATGTATTATCCGTATGCACAACTCCTAAAAATTAATTTTACAGTGTAACTAATACTTTTTTAAATGAAAACGCGCCTTTTAAAATTGAACTCTGCTTATTTAATGACTACAAAACGCAATTCGCATTTGAAGATGAATATTTTAGCGATTTCTATGGAAATCGCTAGCAGATATATAATGTTGTATTAATCATCCATAAGTAAGCAATAAGCACTTAAACGCCAACATAAACAAGAGTACTACTCGGTTGCTTGTCTTTTCACGGACAAATTCGTTGAATAATTTGTTCACTGTACGAATCATGACTATGAACTTCACTGCATGCCGTTAATAGACAATTTAATAATATGATGGACACATTTTTGTGTTGCTTTTCTTCATTCGTATACAAATTGCACTCAATATAATATACAATACTAATTTATAGTACGTCGACTGGTAAAAATTATGAGTTCGACATTTAAAAATAGTCACTGCAACGAAAACTTCCGAGCAATTATTATACATATATTTTAAAGAAAATTCACCAAGTTTGTTCTTATCACCGCAAAACTGATAAATAAATATAGCAATAATAAATAATAATGGGTAATTTTCATCGACTTAATGGATATTTTTTATAAAATCATTTGATTATGACGTATATGAATGTACCGTATATATAGGAATTACTTTTTTTTATCCGAGTTTTGTAAATTAATGGTTTTTAACAATATCACATTTAATTCATTGTGAAATACAATTAATTTACATCCATTGAGTCATTAATCTACGTATAACAGTGAGTTAACGAGACTTCAGCTGATTAAAATATTTTTATTTTTTTGAAGTTTCCTAAATATACCTAAATTTTACGGAATATTTTTTTTTATGTGGTTTTTAATTTATTGAATAATGAGACCTATAATTTTTTTAATTTTAATTATTTTATTATAAACAGTACCGTAAAACATTATTCAAAAGCACAATCAATATTAAAAACGAAATTGTAGTATTTCTTTAGTTAAAAAAGTAGTACAAAAAAAAAAGTGGTGTTAAATTCACTTTTCAGTAATTTTTAATAAAAAAATGTTATTTAACTTAAAATAGAAATTTTTGTTTGTTTTTCATTTTTTATCTTGAATATTTTTATAATACAACCTAAAAATTCTCAAATTTTGAAATATTTTTAACATTTTTGAAAAAAAATAAATGGATTTATCAAACTTTCTACCTCTTTAAATCCTATACAAATGTAATTTATGATTTATTGAATAATTTATGAGTGAAATTGGTGTGAAGAATTCATAGTGTGATAAAATGTACACTTTATCAGAAAACATTATTATCAATGATCGTAGAATAAAATAAAAATGCATGAACTTGAACGTTACATTTTTTTGGTTATAATATTTTAAATTATAAAAAAAAATAAAAACCGTTTTTATTTTAACTATAATTAGATAAAAAATAAAACTATATTTAAAAAAACAATTGTTATTTATAGTTAATATGCAAGTCAATCTAGTATTTAACTCGCTTGATAAATTTCGAATTAAAACTAATAAAATAAAAAAAGGTATTTTTTATTTTATCTATTATAATATAAAAGTTTCTTTAAAATAAATTTATCACTTTTAAAATTATTTAAATTTTAAATGGAAGTATATTAGTAAGTGTTGTTTAAATTGCAAAAACTCTTTTTAAAGGTTTCTAAGTGATGATGAATCATTTCAATTCAATTAAATAATATATATAGTATTTGACAGTATTTTTATAACAATAAAAAATATAAGATTTGTTTTTATTTTTGACATTCAACAATTAAAAATGTATTTAATTTGATTATTTTGTATTGTGCAAAATATGCTTGATGTAACTTTACGAAATTCGATCCTTATTTAAACATTTTCACGCCCTTTTTACTTTTTAAGTACATATCAATTTGTCAACTTAATTGTTTTCATGGGTATGGGTAATATAATCTATCGAAATATTTTAATGTAGGAAATTTAGATTATTTACAATACAGAGAAAAATTCAACAGTGAAAGAAAATTAATAGATTTTTCATTAATTTTAAATACCAAAAAAAAAGAAAAGAATGTAAATAATAAAAATTTTTACGAGAAGTTTTTAAATTTTTTAATTTAGTAATCAATGACGACGTTCGGATTCTGTATCAAATTCTCTTTTTAGTATGTAAATTTTATAAATAAAATTAAAACTATATTAAAAATGTTATTATTTTAAAAACTAAAATATATTAAAAATATTAAACTCAAAAAGTCAGTATGTGTTTAGCGTTGATAATGGTAACAGTGTTTCCGAAATACGTATCCACGATATTTCATTAATTTTTTGTGGCTTCTTGAGTTTAATATTTTTTAGTTTTTAAATTAATAATATTTTTAATATATAGATTTAATTTTATTTAATTAATTAGCCACAATTGATCTGTTTATATTATATAAATTTTTAAATATTTAATTCAAGAGATTAAATACTTGAATTTTACTTTAATTAATACTTTATTTTTTATCAAAATTATTTATGTTTTAATTTTTTTATTATTTTCAAAAACATTTTATATGTTAATTTATAAAATAGTAGTATTACTTTTTATTAGATTAGATATGATACAAATATATGATTTTCTATTTATTATATTATAAAAGAGAAAGGAGGAAAAAAATTAAATAATTTTGTTAATCCTCACTTTATGTAAATAAATTCTTAAGTATGAATATTAAGATAACATAAAATATACAGAGAAAATCAATAAACGTTTTGACATGTTAGTTAAATACTTGAACATAGGCTGGTAACGTAAGGTATTTCTTTCAAAAAAAATATTTTCATTGAAGTACAATGTTGTATAAAGTATATACAGTAGAAAGTTTTATCTTGTACTGCAATTTCCAGATAATTCAATTATATGAAACAGCCTGTTTATTTTCAATTAAATATATTTTTTAAATCTTGAATACATTGTATATTTATGGAGAAAGATAAAAAAATTTTTGTATAAAATCCAATTCCAATAATTGTATAAATTAGAATTAGGAACTGAAATAATTTCGGTTTTTACAATTTAAAATTAATAAATTAGGATATGATAATCGAATTTTTTTTATATTTTTGTTGAAAAATATTATGAAACTTAAATTAAACTTAAAATTTATAATGTTAAATTTTAGGTTTGGATAAGGGGTTAAAAGTTATAACATAATACTGTAATTATTAACCTTACAAATTTTTGAAAAAATGTTGGTTCTTAGTCTTGGTTAAATATCTGCAACTATACTTTAACAAATGAGAAATACAAAAAAAAAACTCTTTTTTATTACACTAATACTAAAAATAATATTCACTGTTTTTAAGGAAGATAATAGTTTCAAGACAAAATATTTTATGTTTTGATTGATTAATACATAAAGTTTATTCAAATTTAAATAAATCATTCCTAATTTAAACAACTAAACAATAATGAACAAGATAAAACTTGTTCCAAAAATAATTATTGTTAATTGCTTCATAGTATTATGTCATATATTTCAATAACATTTTTATTATTTTATTCATTTTTAAATTATAATTTTTAATCTCTCTCGTAATTTTATGTAGTAAAGAGGAAACATTTATTTTTATATATATTTTTTAAAATGTTTTAATTTTAAATTCAAATATTTTCTTCATTTTAAACTACAATCAAATAACAATAAATTCATTTAAATCCCATCAAAATAGAACGTTTAATAAAATTTACCTATTATTATTTAAAAGTAGTTATTGATTGTGAAAATTAATTAGTTAAATACTTAGATTTAACTATTTATTTGATACAAAACCATGAAAACTCTAACAGTGTTTATTAAATATTCGACAGATGTAACCTTTTATAAACATATTTCTCTCGGTAATCATTTAATTCCTCATATATTTTCATTTTTAAAACAATTTTACTGTTGAATTGTAATAGTTGTTTAGTGTCTAATGGTCAGGCTTGGTGAATTTTTTTTATATTCTAATAATGTTAATTCACTTCATATTATATAAATTTAGTTTTATATAATTTCTAGTTAAATATTAATTTTTCACATCTCATATATATTTGTTTATGTATTTAAAATTACATCAACATCAAATCTCCTTGATTTAGATATTTGGCCGTATTACAACCTATGCGACTGTACCAAATGGACAATAGAGGAAAATTGATGATTGCTGTAGCATGGTTTGCATCAATTTTTTGCAGTCTACCACAGGTACTAAAAACTTAAAAATTATTTAATTTCGTAATACATTACCTATTAATTAAAAGTTAGATACAAATAAATTGTCTGTAACACGAGTAAATAATAAATTCAAACTTTTGCATAAAAGATCCAGAACTTGGTTAAATTTCTATAAAAAGTAAACATAATTAATATTCTTAGAAATGCAAATTATTATAATAATTATAAATATTTATAATTTTATTTTAATTTTTAAATTAAATTTTTTTCTTATTTTTTGCAAAGGCCATTCTGATTCAATTAAATACATAAAATTTAATTTTGTATATCTTATAAATAAATTTTTATTCTTATTAAGATGAAAGATTGGGAAGGATTGTATATAGGCCAAACCTTAGGTACTACTATACCTCAAAAAAAAAAAAAAACATAATTTGAACTAAGTGTATTTATTAAAATTTCCTTTCCGACTTAAATGTACTGGTTGAAGTAATTTTATTTAAAAATTTAATAAGAATATATATTTTAGAGTAAATAAACAATAATAGTGTAATCTTTTTAAATATTAATTGCTAAAATTAATTGTTGCTCCTACCATAATGTATTTTATGAATAGTTGTTTTAATATAATCTTGCTGAATGAAAAATAGCAAAATTTTTGAATTGTAAAACATTATTATTGAAATTTTTGATTTAACAAAACATAGATGAACATAAATGAATATTTCTCATAGAATTTATGTACACATTTCTAGAACTATAAGAATAAAAGAATTCATATTTTACTTTTTGTGATTAATTATTTATTATTTTCTTCATTCGTGTTATAGTAATTATTCTTTAAAATGTAATTCATTAAAATTTTTTTATTTTAACCAAAAATTAGAACCAAACTTTCGAATGTGTCTCAAGATTTTCTATAACCACTTTCTTAATATATAAAACTAAGAAGTACAATTAGTTTCACAATTATTTTTATTTATAACAAAGTAAATCCTAACGACAGTAAGAATTTTATCAATAAAAATGTATTATTTTTTAAGTATCAAAATAAATATTACTTGACATAGCATGAAAAGTAAAATTAAACATTTAAATAATTCTAATTTTCAAAATTTTTACGGTTTAAAATTTCAATGTTAAAAAAATATTCAACACTGGTAAAAACGTACCTTTAAATAAATAATTAACTATAAAAAGAAACATTAAATGAGTATGCAATGAATTTTATTTTTTCAAGTATTAAGTAGGTAACATTAAATTAATTTTTGGGTATTAAATATAATGATAAAAATGTTCATATTTTTGCCCTATGTATTTTTCAAGAATTTCATAATAACCATAAGCTCTTTTTTTTATAGCGGTTATTTTTGATCAGTTGTACTATAATTTTGCTATAAATATACTGATAATTTTTATTTTTATTTACCTGTCATAACTTTTAAACCTGAAACGACCTAAATATGTTTATCTGTTTTCATTGCTACATGGTCTTTTTATACTTATTTCAGAAATATAAATGAATAACTAAAGTAATGAATTTTTTCCCGTGTTTAAAGTGTATTTTTACTACATAATGGGGTGACGTATGTGAGAATTCTTATAATACAAATATGTTAACCAGTTAAAAGTTTCTAGTACGTAATTTGACTAAATTTTTGGGGGATAATTTGAGCTCGATATACGAATTTGAATATTCCATAGATTAATAGATGACGGTCATACATAATTAAGTATTATTAATTAATGTTTGCTTTTCAGATATTTAGTTTACATAAAATTAAATAAAAAATATAATTTTCTAAATTTCGGGGGGCTAAATCTTCTGTTGTGCCTATGATGTTACATATATTTGAATAGTTTTATTTCTTTTCAGATTTACATATTTCATGTAGAAACACATCCTGATTTCCCAAAATATGAACAATGTGTTACTTATCACACTTTTCCAACTAAATTTCACGAATTGGGATATTTATATTTTGGAATGTTTATGATGTATTGTTTACCTTTAATAGTAATAATATTCTGTTATGCATCCATTATAATAGAAATCTACAAGAGATCCAGAGAATCCATTTGTGTCCAAGGCAAGTATTAAATATTTATATACTTTTTATTCTAAAAAAAAATATCCAAAATCATTTTTATGTACGTAAAATGGATGTTTATCTATACTAATTATTTGTTTTAATTATTAAACATAAAGACAGTATTTTCCATTAAATACATAATTAATTGAACTATTAAATTATATTAAAGAAATTGGGAAATTTTCTCTTAAAAAATTGTTTCATAAAAAGAATTAGTTATTTTGTCCTAAGTTCTTAAAAAGGTAGAGTCAGCCATTAACTTTTGATAAAATATATATATGTGATATGTAGGGGTTTATTATGTCAAAATTCGAAAAACATTTTTTTGGTAGAACTGATCCAAATTTATGGACCGGTAAAGCATATATAGGAAAAATTATATGCTAATTGTACCTATACCCGTTAGTATACTAATTTTTATGTAGTTTTTTTTCAAAAGTCATAAAAGGAAGTATGTATTTAGTTTTTATTTTTGTCATTGTGTGTTCATTTTTATATTATCTTTATTAAAGTTCATATTGACAATTTATTTCTGATATATTTATAACTAATAATAAATTTAAAGGAATAAAAATGTTGAAAGTAGGATTTGGTGCTTAATGTTCGTTAGTAGATTCGTGTCAAATATGTTTACTCCTCCGTCATAAGTTACATTTTTATGATAGGTTCAGTTGCAAAGTAAGCAAAAATAACTTTTTTTTTACAAGTATTTCTTAACTATTTTTTAGTATACATTCACTTTTACTTCGATGTATTTAGAAAGATGACTATCTCCTAATTAATTAATAATATTTAAATGTATTCACATATAATTAGAGAATACATTTTTAGAATATTGTTAATGAAAATGTATTGCGTGAAAATAGTATAGCTCAAGGGAGTTCAAAATTTAAGGACAATTGACAATACTTTCGGGATCTTCGTGTGTATATTTCTAAAACTTATTAGTATTTATTCTTTGTATTAAATTTACTTTGTAATTTGTTAAGATGCTAAGTTTTTGGTTAGAAACTTTTGTTAGTTGTTATTTACACAAAATAAGATTAATGTTGGTGTGACATTGCAGACGATTTTTCATGTCAACTAGTTGTTAACCATAATAATCTTGATCTTGAGTTAGAGCAGTAAGTTAATATGTTAACATTCTGTAAAAGTAATGTTAAATAAATTATAATTATAAATTATAAATTTAAATTTATTTGAAGTAAAGTGAGGTTATAAACTGTTTAATTTTGTTTACTATTGTGAAATAAGTAAAATAATAAAATGAAAATAAATAAACCATACACTTATTAAATTGAGGGTTTTAGATCTATTTAATTAACAGATATGTCAGTTTTATTCCTCCATTGTACCAGTAAGCTTTAGTTAGCGTTATATTTAGTTACTACTTATAAAATGAAAAATATATTACATTAATACAATTTGATATTATTATTATTTTTTATATAGCTTGGTCTATTATATTATATTACTATGTTTTAATTAAAAACAACTAAATATATAAGAATTAATAAATATTACACAATTTTAAAGGTAGAGGAAATACTAATTAAAATATATAGTAGTTAATATGCATACTACCATGTATTAATATAAATTGATTGTTTAGAAATGTTTTTATTGATTTGTAACAGTGAAACAATAATCTTATTTTGTGATGCACGTGAATAATTACTGAGTTTTAGTATCATACATTATAACTTTTGATTAATTTTAAGTTAATTGTGCCATAATTTACATGAATTAATTGGTAATAGGATTAAATCTGTAGTGGTTTATAGAAATGTTTATTTGAATAGCAATGATTCTTGAATATTTTTTGCTGTGTGCATGTACTTTGTTTGTCTAACAACTACTTAATAACAGAGTCACTTGAATGTACTTTCACAAACTCACTACTAATGTAAATTTATTTTAGAGTTATTTACTGATGTTAGTGAATAATTCAAACTGTACAATGTTCTTCTTTAAAATTTAATATACATGTAACCAATGCGACTGAAATCACATTTAATTCACGAGTAAAATATTTGCCAAAAGGCGTGTTTAAATATTATTTATAACGTAATCTTGCTTAGTAATTTTTAGCTTGAATAATTCATTTTTTGTTCTTAAAGGATATCATTAAATATTTGTACCCTTGTAATTATAAAATAGAATTTTTGAGTTTTAATATTTTTTAGTTTCCTTACAAACGTTTATGTGTCAATCTAGTTCAAAATCTTTACAAATATTTGTGTATTTTATAAATCATTTTAAAAGAGCAAGTTACATAGAAAATTTATTCATTTTTTTTTTATGAACAATTTCAAAAACGCAAATTATTATAATAATAAACATTTTTTAGAAAAAAATTACCTTTAAAATACCTTATTTAAACTTAAAAAGTTTTTAGTTTGCATGATATTTTTGTATAAATAAACATGTTAACTCATATATGAAATATATTCTCGTTATTTACAAACTAAACTTTTATACGAAGGTGAAGTTGGCATTTATAATGTACAGTGTTAACATTCAAATACATATTAGACTTTAGGCTGTATTTTATTTTAATATTTTACAGTACTAGCCCAATACGTCGAGTTTTGGAGGAAATAAATAAAGAAAAATAAAATTTATTTAAAACGAAAACAACAGCAACGAACAAAATTAGTTTTTAAGTTGCACATTGAAAGTATTTTTTCGAGTCAAAACTAGCTTGTTAATAAGACTGTTGAACAATTTTTTAAGGGACAATACATTTATGTATACATCACCCTAATAAAAAAATCTAGTAAATAACATTTTTTCAAATAATTATAAAAATCCGGAGAAAAATTAATTAAATTAATTTTACGTTTCTTTAATTTTTTATTTTATCATTTGTGCGTTATAGGGGTATCAATTATATATTTTTAATAGAATCATTTTTAATTTGATAAACCGTTAGAAGTATTTTTTTAATTTATAGCTTGAGAATTGTTTATTAAACTTGGTTTATTTTTTTTGATATAATAGTTAAAACTTTCGTATCTTTGAGTAAAGTTATAAGTATTCACAGTTAATCGGTAATCGCATAAATGACAATAACGGTAACGTATTAATAAATAGTACGGTAGTAAATAGCAGTGTTCATGATTGTTAACTATACTTAAAGAATCAAAACTTCAAACTATTTTATCAATTAAATAAATAAAGTTTTACATAAAATTCTCAAGCTATAAATTAAAAATAAAACACTTCTATTGAAATATGAAATTAAAAATATATGCTTCCATTTAAACAAAAAAATTGATACTTTCCATTAGCGCATAAGGAATGAACCGGAAAATAAATAAAAAACTAAATCTAAGTGAAAATAAAAAATAAAATTCTTTAAGTTATTATTTTATGAAAGTAATTACAAATTACTGTAGGATATTTTTCTGAAAATTTGGTGGGAAATTTATTTGCGTCTATACTCCTTAAATTTTTTTTCTCTTTAATTGAAGAGGATAATGTTGAAAATGTCGATGAAAAATAAATAGAATATATCTGGGGTGTTTATGCATATGTGGATAAGTCAGAAAATGCGAATTTAGATTTATATGATTAAAATATTTTGAAAAAAATTGTTTACGTTTGGTATAACGTGATAAGATAATTCGCAGGGAGATTTTTAACATTAGTATTCACACGTGTAAAATGGGATTTATACGTAACTGAGTTATTCTATTTTGTCCATACAAAGTTATCCTCTTAAGTTATCACTTATCACCATATTACATATATTATATTTCTATGCATAATGAGTTATACTGACTTATCTCTTTATACATATTATAATTTTGTGCATAATGAATCTTGTTGACATATTCCTTTATGTACAACGGATTAATTGATTTAACTCGTTTTTGTTAGAATAATATGACACTAAGCAATATTATTATAATACTATAATTATAGATATCAAACTAATAATTATTAGTTTGTTAAACTAGTTATGATTAGTTTAACAAAAATATTAATTAAATTATTTAATAAATATTTTTTAAACTGACAAAGAACATTTTTTTGTATTAAATGTATTTAATTGTTACAGCAATAAAACTATATAGAGTGTTCAGTAAATAAGTAATCGGGGTTCTATTATTCTCATTATTTATAACTATTAATATGTTTCCTTGCTTACTGAACACTCTGTATATTGTGTTGTTGAAATTTGGAAAAATAATTTTATTTTAAAACTGTGAACAATTAAATATAATTTTGATTTGTTTTATAATTATTTAAGACTAAGAAGAAAACATTATAAATTTAAGGTATTATTTATTAGTCAGTCAAATTTATGTGCAAAAAAGGTTGTTTATATTTCTTTTATAATTTTATATCTAATTATTTTTTAAATTGTTATTAATATAGTAGTATACATATTTATTATGAAAGTAAATTAAATAATAAGTATATTTTATTCCTCTAACAATTTTACTAAAACAATTTTCTTAGTAAATTATCAAGGTTTCATTTTGATTTTTCCAAAAGTTGCAATTTAACACTTACCCCTTTTACCAAACATTACAGATATCATTGTATCTATCAATATCACATTCTGGCTACGGACTTATTATCCATTCAGAGAATAAACGGTAAAGAATATTTTTCTCCGGAATTAATAATTGTGAACATTAGCTATCTCGGTAGAATGAAAATATAAATGCAAATTAAATTAATTGTACTATAATAAAATAGTTTTTTTTTGTTTATAAATATACAGTTTTAACAATAAATTAAAAATATAATTAATTTGAGTACTTAGCAATAAAAAAAATGTTTGCTGAACTGTGTTTTAATATTTACACATTTATATTTTTAGGTACTGATAATGTAAGAAGATTAGGATTTTTAGGAAGAGCTAAAAGCAGGACATTGAAAATGACAATTATAATAGTGTTAGTATTTGTTATATGTTGGACACCATACTACATTATGGCTGTTTGGTAAGTAACAAACAAAAAGTAATATTGTATTATTGTTATTTATAGAGTAGTTTTATATTTCTGTTAACAATTAGTGTAGTAATTTTAAATAATATTCATTGCATGACATAAAATGGAAAGTCTCTAAAAAAATTAAATTGTAGCGTCTCGTTCTCATTAAAACCGTTGCGAGAATATCCTTCCACGTTGACTGTCGCTCATTGGACAATAGTTTCTAACGCATTTTGATTTATTGACAGTTTATTACAAATATAAGTTATTCTTAACCAGACTGTCTTATTCTTAATAAAAATAAATAAAAATATCCGCAACATTGTAAGAATATTATTATTATAAATCAATAATGTAATAAGTTATAAATAGATTTGATTCACATTTATTATTGAATTTCTGTATTTGAATTTTTTGTACTAAAATTTGAATTAAGCATTATGTCATGAATTTATTTATTGAGTAAAAATCTAAAGCCGTACAATATATAGAAAATCATAATAGCAAATGATTATGGTGAAACTATGGTAATAATAATTCTAAGTAATTAATACGATCGATACGATTTTATTATTAACGAACTGACAGGGTACCGGAGGATCTGTTCTACTATAGATCACCCAGTCGTGCCCTCCTTTTCTAGTCAGCCACCGCTTTGCCTATGCTTCAATCGGTGACAAACGACGTTCATCCTGCGGTGGGTGCAAAGTTCACCGCGCGGCCGATGTCAACTTGTTGCGATACCATCTGTAACTAATCTTCCCTACGTCAACCTGTCACGACACAGCAAACCGTATTCAAGAGAATAACAACCAACCTACGACTATCGAATCGTTTTCCCTGTTCAAATTGTTTTAACTTTATTTTATTCTACTTAGTGTAAGTTAGTCGTTGTCATTATGCGTGACTAATACAGTTTTTTTTATCCAGCTTACCAATCCGCTAACCACACAGGGCTGTATCAGTACTGTTTATCGATATCAATTATAACTTAAACAGTGTTCAGTACGTAAGGAAACAGGTTAATTGTTATAAACAATGAGAACAATAGAAACCGTTTACATACTTCTGAACATTCTGTATAGTTCCCTATTAGTATTCAAATGTTAAAGTGTAAATTCAAACATATTTTTACTTTTTACGTAGTCCATAAATAATAATAAATATAAATATTTGTTGCATTATTTAAAGGCTATTAATTGCACTGGTCGAATGATTACTAAAAATGATACAATAAAAAAACCACAAAGTAACAACAGCCACCTTTATGACGTTTGTAAAATCCAGATAAAAATACTAGTTATTAAAATTAAGGGTATTTCCCTCGAGCCGAGTAGCAAGGATGTTTTTATAGTATCTCTCAGTGAAAAAAAAAGTGTTAAAGTATTGTGCTTATCAAATAAATTTGTTATGTCAAAGCTTTGATCCTAATGATCATATACATTTTTAAACAAATGTTGCTTACAATCTTAACTTTTTAGAATTAAATTTAAAAATTATTGATTATAGGTAATCATTATTTTTTTAATAAATAAATTCAATATGATATTATATAATAAAAATTGATCACTTGTGGCTAATTAATTAAGTAAAATTAAAACTATATTAACTACTAAATTAAAACTATAAAACTATACGCGACTTTTCATAATTTTTTTGTGGCTTTGAGTTTAATATTTTTAATATTTTTTAGTTTTTTAAATTAATAATATTTTTAATATAGTTTTAATTTTACTCAATATAATATTGTTTGCTATATTAAAGTTCGTTATTTGGTTTTTGAAATTTTAGTGGTGACAAGAAAGTCATTATCTAATTGAATCAAAATGATTTATAGCTCAAACTATTTTATTTATTTGTCCATATTTAATATTGATTTAATCTAAAATTAATTTAATAAATTGCGCAAAACATAAATAGTATGAATATAAGGTATTAAAAAAAATCATTATTTATAAATATCATTTATTAATATATAATAACATATCCAGATTCTTAATTATAAGCTGTTATAAAATTATATTTCATTGGTAATATTTCCGATAATAACATATTTGAAAAAAAACGTATAATTCAATAGTTGCACTGAATTGTTCATTTTTAAGTGCTCAAGTTCTCCCGAGAGATCTTGAGTGTTCATTGTAAACACATAATTTATCACGAGTAACAATAAGAATCACTACGTTTTAATGTTTACTATAAAAATCATTGCATTGGTATGTTGTAGAAAAATATCTTAAACTATTTGTAATGAAATTCCTATTGGGAATTTAGTTATTTTAAAAAAAAGTGTTGATAAGAGATTGTGGTTTATTTTATTTTAAAATGACAGAATCAAATATATAACAAAAATGAGAATTTTCGGGTTTCAGTGAAATATACTTTTTTCACTTCTATTTTACCTATATATTTTGTGAACATTTTCATGTAAGGTTTGAATATTACTTAATAAAAATAATTTGTATACAATACTGGAAAATATATGTTTAGAATTTTTTCTATTGCATCAAAAAAAATTTTATAGCATAATAACTTTTTATAAATATTTAATGCATTTATAAATGCTATGAACAATTTATTGCACATTTGATAATGTGGTTCAATTTGTGTGTCGGTAGAAATATAATTGATTGATTAATAGGTTTTCACATTTAAAATAATCCGAGATTTTTGACATTCAATAGAATTATTTTATTAAACTTCTCTGTATGATATAAGTTATGGAAGTAACAAAACATTGTTACTATTGTCAACACCATTGACAAGGACGGATTTGGAGTCCAGATCTTGTAACCCTTTCGTCACTATGCAATTATACTCCTTTGATATTATATTAAATAAAATAAATTTCATATATCTATTAGAAAAGAGAAATTACTATTTGACATATAAAGATTTTAAAAAGATAGTTGCCTAGGGCCAAAATACGGTTCTGATCGTGGAGTTTATTATAGGACTTAGCAATAATTACTAACCACAGGTTTTTATATTTTATATATGTTATTACTTAATGTAGATATGGCACAATTTTAGCTGAGATGCGTATTTGAAAAGCTATAGGTTTTACTCATCCGTGTTTTTTTGTTTGTAACACTACGCGATCATTCTGCTCCTACTGGACTGCATTTGTTCAACGATACGTCAAGAGATCGCAAAATGTATCTAGTTGAAATTAATAATTTTGAATTATTAAATTTGAAAAAAATCCCTTCGATCCCATAATAAAGGGAAATGTCCCAAAAAATTACAGTTATTATAAAACAGACAATGTATCAACATTTAGTTTCTATTTTATACTGAAATAACATTTTAAAAACTGGACGGATTATTGTGAAATTTTTTATTGAACATATTTCAAATATTTGAGTTGCCGAAGACATATTTTGACACAAATGGCTCAGGGTAATACGGTACCATGTCAAGTTTTTTTGAAAATTCAATCATTCTCCGATGTACTTACTAATTTTGAGTAAATATGTTTGTTTGTTTCAAATACGCATCAAAACATTTTTAAATAATGATTTTAATTACTGTCAGATATCAATCAATAATAATCTAAAAAAATGCCTTAACCTAACACTACGCCGAACTCTGACTGAACTTACTTTTTTTAAAGTATGACATTTGTAGCGCACATAATCATAATTTTCATTATCTTAAATCTCAAAGATAGAAGCCTCGGAAAAATATCTACCTTATTTATAAAAAAAATTTTCAATCTTTGCTTTAAATATAAGTCGAAAAAAGAGTTCCGTTTAGTATAAATTTTTGTTTAAAATATTTGGTATTAATTATTTTATTTTTAGTTTGCCTCTCAGAAAAAATGACCTAAAGAAAAAAATTGTCTATTTTAATTAGTAAAGCTAAGTTTCAAGATAGTAATATTAAATGTTTAATTTTATATTACTCTGAAAAAATAAAATTTTCTTGAATTTTTCTGAACACTTAAATATAATATAAACTGTAAGTGCTTCATCGTCGATTCTCTCTTTAAATATATTAATTTTAATGTTGACGAAGATATTAGATAAAACTTACTCTAAAATTTTTTATTTTTTGACTTAAATAGCTAACATCAAGTAGGTAATATCAACCTATTGATAAATATTTTTGAAATAATGTAATATTTGAAAAATGTTATTGGGTTTAATATACTGTTACGAGGACAAATATAAAATAATACTGTAATCGTTTTGTGTTTGGTTTCAATAAGTATATATTTTATAGTAATCTTTTAGAAAAATATTTGGTTCATTTGTGTTTCACATGTTTCTAATATTATTGAACTAAGTCTATTAAGTTGTTGTTTTAACATGACTATCAAATAAATTGAGTTAGACAAACGCTACCAATGAAACTTTTTTATAGGAACAAGTAGAAAGTTCAAGCCAAGTTTATAAATTCTTTACAAAATCTATAAAAGGTGAATAACGAAAAATTTTGTTAATATTGAGTGTATTGCATTTTGCTAAATATGGCGTATTCTTGTTTTATTTTTTTTTCGAAAACTTATATTTTCTAATTTATATTATTGATTAAGAATAAATCAATTTTTTAATTATACTTTCTATTTCGGAAAAAAGATTAAAGAGGATTTAACAAAGTGTATTTAAGAATGGTTCATTGTTATTTTTACAACAGAAAATTGTTTTCATAATTAAAAGAACAAAAAATAAATAAAAGCAATTAGTTCTAATACTAAGTTTGAAACAAATGAAGAAATTATACTTTTATTAAATTTATTAATTGCTTTTAACGAATAATTAATTGTAATTTTTTACATATTTTGTTAAATATTACCAGAATTCGTTAAGTCCATTCTTAATAAAAATGATATATATATATATAATTACAAATTTAAAAATCGCTAATTTTCGTAATTTTTTTTACTTAAAACTTTTTCAAAAATGACCAAATCAATATAATTTTTTTTATGGATGCATAATGTCTTTACCTACCATTTGATATATTCTTCTGATAAATCTGATCTTTACTTGCCCACAGAGAAA